GAACAGAAATTACTTGAAGAACAAAAGAAATTAGAAGAACAAAGGAGATTGCAGGAACAGAAGCGATTGGAAGAACAAAGAAGGCGTGAAGAGGAACAAAAAAGACTAGAAGAACAGAGAAAATTAGAAGAACAGAGAAAATTAGAAGAAAAGAGAAGATTAGAAGAACAGAGAAAATTAGAAGAACAGAGAAAATTAGAAGAACAGAGAAAATTAGAAGAACAGAGAAAATTAGAACAGAGAAAATTAGAAGAAAAGAGAAGATTAGAAGAACAAAAGAGATTAGAACAGAAAAGACTGGAAGAACAGAGAAAATTAGAGGAGCAGAGGAGACTGGAAGAACAAAAAAGATTAGAAGAACAGAAGAGACTGGAGGAACAGAGAAGATTAGAAGAACAAAAAAGACTGGAAGAACAGAGAAAATTAGAAGAACAGAGAAGATTAGAACAAAAGAGATTAGAAGAACAGAAAAGACTGGAAGAACAGAGAAAATTGGAAGAACAAAAGAGGATAGAGGAACAGAAGAGACAGGAAGAACAGAGAAAACTCGAAGAACAAAGGAAAATGGAGGAAAAACGAAGACAGGAAGAGGAGAGAAAGCGAGAAGCGGAGAAGAGGGCGGAAGAACAGAGAAGGATTGAAGAACAGCTACGCGAAGAAGAGAAGAGAAAATTAGAAGAACAAGTGAGACTCGCGGAGGAGGAAAGAAAACGGGAAGAACAAAGGAAACAAGAGAAACGCAAAGAGAAAAAGCGAGCGGAGGCCCAGAGGAGGGCGGAGGAGAAGAGGAAGGAGGAGGAGGAGAGGAAGAAGGAGGAGAAGAAGAAGGAGGAGGAGAAGAGGAAGGAGGAGGAGAGGAAGAAGAAGGAGGAGGAGGAGAGGAGGAAGGAGGAGGAGGAGGAGGACGAGGAGGAGGAGGAGAGGGCGCTGGCGGAGCGGAGGCTGCAGGAGGAGGCGTGGATGAGGGAGCAGCAGCGCCGGGCGGAGCAGAAGGCCAAGAGGCGGTACGACGAGCGCGTGAGGAGCGAGGAACTGCGGCAGAAGGAGCGCAAGAAGAGCGAGGAGCAGGCGGAGGAGCAGCTGCGGCTGGAGGACATGCGGCGCCAGGAGGAGGAGCGCATGCGGCAGGAGGCGCAAATCTACGAGAACTACCGCCGCCACCTGGAGGAGAAGAAGAAGTCGCAGTTCTACGACTCGGACGACTACGCCTCCGAGTGGGACCTGCCCGACGAGGAGGAGGAGGCGCCGCGGGAGGCCAAGGCGTCGCCGCACCAGGAGGAGAAGTTCGAGGAGCTGCAGGCGCAGAGCGAGGAGGAGCTGTACGAGGCGCAGGAGAAGTCCATCCGCAACCTGGAGCGCCAGATCCGCAAGCAGAGCGACCGCGAGAAGCGCCGCCGCACCGAGAAGCAGCAGGGCGCGCGGCGGCCGCAGGCGCAGCGGGCGCAGGAGGCGACGGGGCCGCAGCGCTGGCACTCGGCCAGCACGGGCGACCTGCGGGCGTCGCGCACGCTGCCCGTCACCAAGTTCAGCCCCGACCCCATGGAGTTCGGCTTCCGACCCATCGAGCGCCCGCACGCCAAGCTGTCCAAGTCCACGGGCAACCTCAGTGGCGGCGCGTCGGCGGCGGCCGTGGCGGCGGTGGCGGGCGCAGAGGCGGGCGCAGGCGCGGGCGCGGAGGCGCTCTCGGAGGCCGCCTTGGAGATGGGCGGCGCGTGGGCGGCAGGCCAGCCACTCTCCACCAGCCTGGGCGACCTGCAACAGGTAGGACCCTGTCGTGGCGGAGGGAGACCAGGGCGCCCCTTTCGCACGCGCAGGCTAGACACACATGTGTGTATATTTACATCTATGTGTATACTCATATTTATATCTACATAACAATAAGTTTGTAAAAAAAAAAGAAATTACACACACACACACACACACACACACACACACACACACACACAACACACACACACACACACACACACATATATATATATATATATATATATATATATATATATATATATATATATATATGTATATATATGTCTGCCAAAGTGACCATAATGCTGCAGATATTCTCCATTGTAAAAGTGGAGCACGCTGTTGCACCGGGGAGGTCGTGGCAACCGCTGCGACCGCAAAGCAAATTGCATAAGCCGCAGCATGGCCAATGCAATCACAGGGGGTTACAGCTTTGATAACAGAGCCAGAAAGCTCGTATGACCAATATACAATTTTTTTTTCATAACGTACGCTATGAAAAGTGGTATTCACCTTGCGGAATACCAGCCAGTCCTAACAACGAGCTAGTTTTTATAATCACCGAAATACTCAACAAGGAGCGAGTTTTTAGTCATCGTAATAAACATCTAGTATCTATTTTTTTAATCACCAAAATAGTCCTCTTATAAACATCCAACTACAAGTTTTATAAAAGAAATGTCCCTTTTCAGCAGGTGTCGAAGAAGCCGCCATTACCGTCTTCGAAAGCGAAGGTCAAACTGCGCAACGCCTCCAGTGAGGAGAATTTGGGGCGCACGCAGGCAACGCGGTAAGTCGGAGCCGGGGGCGTGAAGGCTGTGAAGGATGGGGGTGGGGGGGGGGAAGGGCGGGGACGAGGGAAGGGAAGAGGGGGAAAATGAGAGGATGAGGGAGGGGGATATGAGGGGACGAGAGAGAGGAATAGGGGGAAAATGAGGGGACGAGGGGGGGGAAAGGGAGATGAGGGAGGGGATAGGAAGGATAGGAAGGGACGAGGGAGGGGAATAGGAAGGACATTAGGGGACGAGGGCGGGGAATAGAGGGGAATGGGCGGCGCGAAGGTGGGTAAAGGGAGGGGTGGGGATAGGAGGGGATGGGCGGGTGGGCGAGGGTGGGGTGGAGGTGATGCAAGGGATGATGTGTGTATGTGAGCTCGAATTCCATGAGTATGTGATATCTATGTCGTATGTATGTATGTTAAGGTTTTAAATATCTAGTGTAATATTTTCTTTTTCTCTTAACAAAATATGTTATTACACTAAACATGATTATAGACACTTTACATATGTCTTACAAAAAATAAACTAAATGACAAAGCAATTAGAATGTAAATGATAATAATTTCAACAGATAAAATCAACTTTCCTTACAGTCTATTTAAACGTTAGCAAAGTAGACCTACAATGAGCAGTAAGCATGACCAGCTGCCCAAACTTCTAACAGAAAATCTCGCATCAAATTGCAAATAGAATAAAAAAAAACAAAAAAATGCATGCGTACTTCTCATACTTCACATTAATCCAGAGTAAAATCCATGAAGAGAACGGTACATAATGCGTGAATTTCTTGGCCTCCCCAAAGGTTATATATCGACGACCCTTACGACTATTGCTCCGACGGCGAGGTGTAAGTTCGCTAAGGAGAGCGAGTTCCGCTGACATTAGCGGGCGGGACGTCGGCCTCCTGGGAAGGCGGCCGCCGGGTGAAGCCGTCTGCTTTCCTGTTACTCGCTCCAAAGGGGATTCTGATGCCTGTGCTTGTGTACATACACACGCATGAACATACACATACATACATACATATGGTTATATGTACTTCATATCATATATATATATACACACACAAATATATCTATCTATCTATCTATCTATCTATCTATCTATTTATCTATCTATCTATCTATCTATCTATCTATCTATCTATCTATCTATCTATCTATCTATCTATCTATCTATATATATATATATATATATATATATATATGAATAACATATAATATATAATATATATATAATACATACATATGTATACATATATATATATATATATATATATATATATATATATATATATATATATATATATACTTATATATATATATATATATATATATATATATATATATATATATATACATATAAATATATATATATATATATGTATATATATATATATATATATATATATATATATATATATATATATATATATACATATATATATATATATATATATATATATATATATATATATATATATATATATATATATATATATATATATGATACACACTCACACACACGCACACACACACACACACGCACACACACATATATATACATACATATGACCACATGCATCTACAATACATCAATTACTGAAACATAAATTCTTTATCAGAATCTTCGGCGCAGACGTCGTCCTGTACAGTAACTGCTGTTTTTGTTTTTATATGCTACTTTTAAAATCTCCAAAGTATAAAATATTTGAGCCGAGAAATGTAAGGCCTCACCCAAATCAAAGGATGACGTCACACGCTGAGTAACGGAAATAACGGCAAAAGTTTAAACTGTTAGGCCGTTTTTGTCAAACTAACACTTATAATATGCAGAGCGAATAGGTCAGCATAACTTGAATTTTATATTTCACTAAACGCAAGGATCTCTTACGAATTCCTATAACATGACAGCATAATATTATAAGCATAACGTTTGCCTATAAGCGTACGAAACTAACCACAGCATGAAAAGCGATGAAGTGGCTTGAAAAAGGAATCTAATGCTACTTGATTGAAATTGTTCTAGATCGGTATTTGTGAAAACAAAGATAGAATTTATATATATGTAACATATACGATTAACCTTGGTAGAATTTTTTTTATTGCTTTGCGTAGATGGTAGTACTGACTTGCATGCATTTCTCGTATGAAAGCCATGATATGATTAAAGAAATAAGAATCCAATTCTATTTTGAATGGCGCGTAATGCGATCTGTTCTTTGATTCGTTAAAATAGAATCTGATTCCATAAAAAATTCTCAGATGAAAATTAAATAATAAAAAAGAATATGAAATAAGGAAAATACACTTTACTTGCATGCATATTTTTCTATTCAGATCAAAATCTCTTACATTAGAAATTCATTTTGACAAACACGCTGTGAAACAACATTATCAACCTCCTCCAAACTTCCTCTCCTCTTCCTCTGTCTTCTCCTTCTCCCTCATTCTGTTCTTCCTCTTCTTCTCCACCTCCTCCTTCCACTCCCTCCTCCTCCTTTTCTCCCCCTTCCACCTCCTTTTCTTCTACCTCCTCCCCCCCTCCCGACAGACACTCAGACGACCCTCGGCGCTACACCTTCTCTTCCTCTCCTTCCTCTTACCCCTTCCTTTATCTCTACTTCCACCTCCTTCCATTTTTTCTTCTCTTCCTCCTCCTCCTCCACTTTCATCCCCATCCTCCCTTCTTCAGGAGTCTCCCTAACCTCCTCCCCCCCCTCCCGACAGACACTCAGACGACCCTCGGCGCTACACCTTCTCTTCCTCTCCTTCCTCTTACCCCTTCCTTTATCTCTACTTCCACCTCCTTCCATTTTTTCTTCTCTTCCTCCTCCTCCTCCACTTTCATCCCCATCCTCCCTTCTTCAGGAGTCGCCCTAACCTCCTCCCCCCCTCCCGACAGACACTCAGACGACCCTCGGCGCTACACCTTCTCTTCCTCTCCTTCCTCTTACCCCTTCCTTTATCTCTACTTCCACCTCCTTCCATTTTTTCTTCTCTTCCTCCTCCTCCTCCACTTTCATCCCCATCCTCCCTTCTTCAGGAGTCTCCCTAACCTCCTCCCCCCCTCCCGACAGACACTCAGACGACCCTCGGCGCTACACCTTCTCTTCCTCTCCTTCCTCTTACCCCTTCCTTTATCTCTACTTCCACCTCCTTCCATTTTTTCTTCTCTTCCTCCTCCTCCTCCACTTTCATCCCCATCCTCCCTTCTTCAGGAGTCTCCCTAACCTCCTCCCCCCCTCCCGACAGACACTCAGACGACCCTCGGCGCTACACCTTCTCTTCCTCCTCCTCCTCCACTTTCATCCCCATCCTCCCTTCTTCAGGAGTCTCCCTAACCTCCTCCCCGCCCTCCCGATCCTCGGCGCTACTCCTCCTCTTCTTTCTCTTCCCCTTCCCTCTACCTCTACCTCCAACTCCTTTTTACCTTCCTTCTCCTCCTCCTCCATTTCCCCCTTCCACCGCCTCCTCTTCTTCGCCCTTACTCCCTCTCCTTCTACCTTCTCCTCTTCCGTCCTTCCCGCCTTCCCCTCTCCACTTTCATGCCTATCCCCCTTCCTCCCTCCTCCTTCCCTTTCTTCTTCCTCATCTTCTTCTTCACCCCTATCCTCCACCCCCTCCCCCTCTCCTCGGCACTACACCTCCTTCTACTCTTCCTCTCCTTTCCCCTTATTCCCTCTCCTTCCTCCTTCCTCCTTACTCCCACTCCTTCCTCCTCCACCCCCCCCCCTTCCTTCTCCATCCCCTTTACCCCCCCCCCCCTTCTTCAGGAGTCGCCCTAACCTCCTCCCCGCCCTCCCGATCCTCGGCGCTACTCCTCCTCTTCTTTCTCTTCCCCTTCCCTCTACCTCTACCTCCAACTCCTTTTTACCTTCCTTCTCCTCCTCCTCCATTTCCCCCTTCCATCTCCTCCTCCTCTTCCCCCTTACTCACTCTCCTTCCACTTCCTTCCCGCCCTCCTCCCCCCATCCCATCTCCTTTTCTTCTTCTTCCTCCTCCTCCTCCACTTTCATCCCCATCCTCCCTTCTTCAGGAGTCTCCCTAACCTCCTCCCCCCCTCCCGACAGACACTCAGACGACCCTCGGCGCTACACCTTCTCTTCCTCTCCTTCCTCTTACCCCTTCCTTTATCTCTACTTCCACCTCCTTCCATTTTTTCTTCTCTTCCTCCTCCTCCATTTCCCCCTTCCACCGCCTCCTCTTCTTCGCCCTTACTCCCTCTCCTTCTACCTTCTCCTCTTCCGTCCTTCCCGCCCTCCTCCCCCCTCCTCCTTCGCCCCCCTCCCTTCTTCAGGAGTCTCCCTAACCTCCTCCCCCCCCTCCCGACAGACACTCAGACGACCCTCGGCGCTACACCTTCTCCGCTGGCGACGGCGACCTGCTGGAGCTGGAGGCGCCGCAGCTGGAGCTCGAAGGCGTCGACTACTCTCGCCTCCTGAGTGAATATTATGCCGCCTATTATGAGGCCTATTATCAGAGCTACTATAGGTGAGTCTGGTTTTTCTTTTTCTTTTTCCTTTTTTTTTCTTTTTTTTACGGTAAGGGGATTTTTTTTTCTTCTTCAATTTTTCGCCATTCTTTTCTTTTCTCTTTCCTGGAAGGGGAGTGTTTTTTCTTTCTTTTTTTCTTTTGTCTGTCTCTGTCCATTTCTTTGTCTCTTTCTTTCTCTTTCTCATTCTCTTTTCTCTTTCCTTCGCTTTCCTTTTCTCTTTCTCTACCTCTTTCTCTTTCCCTTTATCTCTCTATCTCCCCATTTTTTCAATCGCGATAGGTGAGAGGAATCGCCAGGAGATCTTCTTCAGGTAGGTGTTGGTCGGGTCATTGCATCTATTTATGGTGATAATGGTGGTGATTGTGGAAATTGTGGTGGTAGTGATGGTGGTGATGATAATGATGATGGTGATGATGATGATGATGATGATGAGGAGGAGGAGGGTGGCGGCAATGGTGATGGGGGTAATGGTGATGATGATAATGATGTGGATAAGAATGATGATGACAATAAAAATAAAGTATTCCCCAAAATGGAAATAACGATAATCATAATGCAAAAAGACACACGAAAATAACATTCGCAAGCATATAAACAAACCAAAGATGAAAGAAATACCATGAATTAAAAACAAATGAAAATAAGTTTCACTTTGATGAACTGCCACACAGCCGACATTCCTCCAATTGCTATAATAAATGTCTACATTAGTCATCATTAAACACAATTGCTTTTTTTTTTTTTTAGATCATCACGCAATCGAGCGGTTAATATAAATAAATATAAAAGGTGAATATATATATATATATATATATATATATATATATATATATATATATATATATTATATTATTTGCCTCGATTATAATTACATTATCAAGTGAAGGAAAAGGGATCGTGTTGATAAAATTGTTATTTGATCTTAATCGTCTTTGATGCGATCAGTTATTTTTATTTAATTGGTGCCATTATTATATATATATATATAAAAATGCTAGTTCGGGAAGCCATACTACTATTATGCATAAATAATATCTAAATCGTTTCCCCTCAGCTTAGACAGGATGAGGGGGGAGGGGGGGAAGGAGGGAGGGAGGGGGCGATGAAGAAGGCGACGGAGAGAGAATAAGGAGAGGGAGGGAGGGAAGGAATGTGAAAGGGAGGGAGAAGAGAGGAAGAAGGAGATTGATAAAGAGAGAGGGAGGAGAAAGGGGAGGGATAAAGATAGAAGGAAGGAGGAAGACGAGACGAGAGAAAGAGAGAGGAAGAGGAGACAGGAGAGAGAGAGGAAGAGAAGGGAAGGGAGGGAGAAGGAGAGCGAAGGAGAGAACGACAGGGAGTGTGAGACCGGAGGCACCTGCATCCTTCGCTGACGTCATTTTCCTTAGGACAATCGTGAACGTTTTCCCCGCGCCGAAGTGACGTCCGTCCGCCACTGACGCACGCTGCACACTGACGCAAAGACGGCGTTTGTCGGCATTTAAAGAGGGAGATGAAACAATGTCTTGCGTAGAGGAGGCTGAAGGGATGCCATTGTTCAAGACTCAGGATCCTGGGGCGGTGTAGTAACAGAACAAACATTTAACGCCATTATAGTCTATGAAGAGAATCGACTGCAGTAATTTGTTAAAGCTACATCCTGTAATAATTCTTATAAGGGCAATAGCATCATACATTTTATATATTTAACTGTGATTTGGTCGACCATAGGTTTGTTGTCATTACATTAACTGTGAAGGTGAGCGACGTCATTTCTATTTCCGAAGAGAAAATGGCTGCAAATATCTAGAAAGCGAACCAATGAAGGGTTGACAATAAATCAGAATGGGCTTCCAGAGTCCATTTCTCATTACTGATGCGTGATTATCTTCATATGCCTTTGATTCGGCAAATTTGTCTATGACTCCACCACGAAAATGTCTCTTACACAGGCAGTTTTTGTCTAAGATTCGGGTCCCACGAGCGTAAGGACTGTCTTTAAAACTGCAATGCAAATTTACACAGATTTGAAGATAATTCTGCTCTTTCCTTCCCCTTTTTCCGCTCTCTCTCTCTCTCTCTCTCTCTCTCTCTCTCTCTCTCTCTCTCTTTCCCTCTCCCTCTCCCCCCCCTCTCTCTCTCTCTCTCTCTTTCCCCTTCCCTCCTTTCCTCTTTCCCTCTCCTTCCCCTTCCCCTTCCCTCCCTCTCTCCCTCTTTCCCTCCTCCTCTCCCTTCCCTTCCTCCTCCTCTCCCTTACTATCACCACAATAATAAACGAAAGAGAGAAAGAAAATGCTTAAGAAGTACAAATAGCAATGGAAAGTTAGTGAAATCGTGCGGCGACTGAAGAAGGAGAGGAGAATGGAGGAGGGAGGGGGGAGCAAGGAAGAAAAAGAGAAATTGGTGGATGAGGGAAAACACAAGAAAGAGGAGTTATGTGTAGAGAAAAGGGGAAGAGAAGAATAGAAAATAACGGGTGAAAGTAGCTGCTAATTCACTGGCTGAAAAGCGATGTTAGAAGACTGTTTATTGCAGAATTAGGACAATGATAATGATAAAGATAATGATGATAATAGTAAAAATGATGAAAATCATGATAATAATGATAATGATAATAATTATGATAAAAGTAATAACGATAATAAAAATAGTAATAATAATAACAATAAAAGTAATAACAATAATAATAATAGCAGTCATAAGAGGGATGATAATAAGAATAAAAAATAACAATAACCAGAATTTCTTATAATTGCTACCTAAAAGGAGCTTGTTATCTAAACCCCTTTTCTTGTTGACGCCCGGATACTTATCTTAACGGTGACTGACAGACGAACATTCTCGAAAAAAACGCTTACATCACATACACACGCGCGCGCGCGCGCATATGTGTGTGTGTGTGTGTGTGTGTGTGTGAGAGAGAGAGAGAGAGAGAGAGAGAGAGAGAGAGAGAAGAGAGAAGAGACAGATAAAGAGAAGAGAAAGAGAAAGAAAAAAAAAAAAAAAAAAAAAGAGAACGAGACAGAGAGAAACACAGAAACATGCAGACAGACAGACACGAATATAGCGAAACGACGAATATAGAGAAATCAAACACAGACACAAACACATTTCCCTAACCCAAGATTCAAGCATAAAAGGGTCGTCGACGTTTTCTATCGTGCTTCCAGGGTGACTGAACGAAAGCTTCGAGCGAAAGTAGAGAGTGAGAGAAAGGTCACTCTCTCACTGGCCTTCGGTCGAGTCTTGAGAGAAATTATAACCTGTGGCGCAATAAGAGTCAAGTAATTAAAGTAATTAAAGGTAACTGAGAGGAAAAAGGAGGATAATTAAGAGGAAAAAAGGGTGATAATTAAGAGGTAAAAAGGGTGGTAATTAGAGGGAAAAAAGTGCGTTTTCGGTCAAGAGTGAAAGTGAAAGAAATAGAAAGAGTGAGAGTGAGAGGAGAGAGACGGGAATCAGAGAAAATGTGGTGATTATCGGTGATAAGCAGGAGGAAAGGAGGGAAAGTGGGAGGGAGGGAGTGAGAGAAGGAGAAAGGGAGAGAGGTAGAGAGGTAGAGAGAGAAGGAAAGAGGGAGCGAGGGAGTGAGAGAGAGAGAGAGAGAGAGAGAGAGAGAGAGAGAGAGAGAGAGAGAGAGAGAGAGAGAGAGAGAGAGAGAGAGAGAGAGAGAGAGAGAGAGAGAGAGGGAGATAGAGAGAGCGAAAGCAAGAAAGAGAGAAAGCAAGAAAAAGAAAGAGAAAGAGAGAGACGAGTAGAGCAAGTCCCGTCCACGAGCAACAGGTGACGTCACAGTAATGGCAGCGAGCTGGAGATGACGTCATGCTGCCCAGGGAAGGTGAGTCATGCCCGCACGCGATGCCACCCAACAGACACTTTCTCTCGAGCTCAGAGACGCCGCCAACGCTCTCCCATGGATGCTGCGACGACTTCTAAGCTTTCACATTAAGACACAGGAAAAAGGAGTTTGCTTTCGTGCACTCTTAAGGATTCGCTTTATCTGATTCCACGCCTCGGCTGGATTCAGACTGACACTTTTTCTTATTGTTTTAAATTCGTATTCGAGGATTATCGGGCGATAGGAGGCGGAGGGGACGCGCGGGTCCTGCTTAAGGGAAAAAAAAACAACAACTTTAGGAATTTTGGGAGATATAACAAACAAAGGGAAAGTGAGAGGAAGTTTATGTAGTTATTTAATCCTCCTCGTCTGACATCAGTTCCGTGATGCATCGCCGCATAACGACCGTTGGGAGGAAGTTGCTGTCCATTGCAACTAGTCGGCACGGAGCAAACAACACAGGGCGACGCGGCGGCTGGCGACGTGTGGCATCGAAATCTCTTCCGACGGAGAGTTACCAACGGAATCATTTCCAACCGTCGCGATTTTTTATTCACCCCTTTTTTATATCCCTCTAACGTCTTCAACCGGGGCGCGGCTTATCTCTAAGGACAGTCATTGACCTAAGATACTAACAACTAAACAGGTGGTTCTGTTTCGCGAATTCTGTGAGGGATAATTAATCTCTAACAGAGGATAATCCAGAACCGACTTCGAACGAGAAACTGGGGATCTCGGCGTCAGCGCTGGCCGGACGGGATCGACCTCCCTCGACGTCGAATTCTCAGTCAGTCGTCCACACGTGCCATGCAAGGAAGGTCCTGTGACAGCGCAGTGCCGCGGGTGTGTCAGTGAAAAAAAAAATTACGTTCGACCTAAAGGACTCTCGTGTTGTATCGGTGTCTATTAATTCGACATTATTTCGAGTACGATAGAACTCTAATGAAAAGTGATAATTATATTTTCAACGTCCAGTTTTATAATCGATTACCTAACCATCGTATACGTGATAGAAACTCTTTTCTCATTAATCATTAACCCCCTCCCCCCCTAAAAAAAAAAGTCAAAGCAATCACAAACAAAAAACCCTCCACTCGATAAAAGAACAAATTTAAAAACCACCCCAGTTCCTTCGTCCACCGCAACCTACTACCATGAGCGCCACACGAAACCTACGGA